CCCCCTTGGCAACCACAAGTTTGTATTCTATGTCTATGAGTTTATTTCTGTTTTGTATTTCAGATGCACTGTTAATCAACTACACTTCAATAAATTTTTTAAAAATTTACTCTTCTAAAACACTGATAAGTTATATCTAAAAGTCATTATTAATAAAAACAATTATATTTTTAAAAGTCCATTTAAAATAATTTTATATGACATGAGATTAAACAAATCTTGAAAAAATTGTTTTTAAAAAGTGAATCTCAGATGAAGAAAAGGAGGCAGAAAATCAAATAAGTTTGCAGCAGACTTCTACAGTGGGAGAGAGCCTTAATGATCACTCATCCCAGGGCCACCCTCAAAGGTTTCCTCTGACTTGGATGAACTGTGAAACTGTCCATTGTTGAAACTGTGATCAGTCATTGGTGTATCTGCCTAGGGCACATACATCTAATCCGATTCTACTGGCCAGTAGGCCAAACCTGCCCACTGCCATTTGGGGTTTTTTAGTACTTAAAAAAAAAATTATGATAGGACACACATAACACAAAATTTACCATCCTGACCGTTTTTTAAGTGTCTGTTTCAGTGGCATTAAGTACATTCATTGCTGTGTAACCCTCACCACTATCTATCCATCCCCAGAACTTTTTCAGCATCTCAGACTGAAACTCTGTACTCGTGAAACGGTAACTCCCCATTCGCCCTCTGCCAGCACTGCCTGTTTTTACACATAACGAACACAGATGAGAACATCTGTGTTCACGTCTTGACACACCTCTTCACACATCGTCTCTTGCTGGTTCCACACTACAATGGCAGAGTTTAGTAGCTGCTACGGAAACCAGATGGCCCACAAAGCCGAAAATATTTACTATCTGGGCCTTGACAGAAGTGATTACATTGACCCTGACCAACGGCCACTGAACCCGCGCTCGGTTATCTCCAGGGCAGTCACTGTGCCTTTAGGCAGATCTCCCTGTGTTTGTGTAAGAGGAAATAGGAACATGATTTTCTTCACAGTGAACCCAAATTTGCCCCCCCCACTATAATTTATTTTTGCTAATGCCTCACTTCTGGAGACACAGACAGGAGTGGAAAATCCCAATGTCTACAAAGGCAGTTTTATGGGTTGAATTGTGTCTCTCTCCAAAAAGATATATTGAAGTTCTAATCCCCAGGACCTCAGCATGTGACCTTCTCTGGAAATATGGTCTTTATTGAGGTACTCAAGTTACACAGTTGGATGCTGTCTACATTTAAACAAAACAATACATTTCTCTCTGGAGATAGGCATGTCAATTCACACACAGGGTCTACAGGAGAAGACCCCAAACTGAGCATGGTGCTTAATTCTGAGGAAGCGCCTAGGAGAAGCCTTGTAGTTAAAGGGGACTTTATGGGTAATCTCTGAATTGTTTATAATGAAAACCAAAGCTTCTCTTATCCAAGGTATTTAAAATAAATTCAGTTAGAGGGGTCCACATCTTATGTGCCTGTCTGGTCACTGGTACGGAGAATCCCATCTTTTGTGAGAGTCAGATTCTGAGGTCAGAGTATAGCCTGTATTTCCTGTGAATGTCTTTTAAATGGCCAATAGATACGTTACGAATATGTTAAGTGTATATTCCTGTAAGGCATTTCATGCGTGTGTATAAGTGCATCATACATAAAACACAGACTACGCATGCATAATGGACCATCTGACCTCAGCTGGCTCACAACTCCTCCTAAAAACTGCTTCTTCCTTGAGCAGAGGCTGGGGGGTCCACACAGCTATAGGGTTGAGCCCTGATGAAGTTACTGGCTTGTGCTTAGGGGCCATATAATAAAATATAATAGTAACAGTGCCTTCAGATCATCCTCCACGTGGCCAGGGTAGGGCTTGTGGAATAGCATCTCCTGTCTCCCGCCCACTCCTCTGCACAGACTCCCCATGTGTAATAAAGGGCAACTTCAAGGAGGTTTAAGCTGCCTTCTCCTGCCCTTCCTCATGCTCTCTTTGTGTAGTGGGTGGGGGGCTGCATGGCTGAGAACAGGGGGCTCCAGTGTAGAGTTAATGATACCTTCTTGACCCCCCAGCCTCTAGATGTAGGAGTGAAAGGGGGAAAGAAAAACAATAAAGAAATCCCACTGTTCCACTGAGAGCAAAGCAGAGGAGGAAGACACACCTTCTTCCTCCAAAGGCCAGTTCTTCAGAACTGAAAAGGAGATCTGTGATGAAAGGGAGTTGGGGCTGGGGGTCGGAAACCCAAGTACCTTTGCGAGATGATCTGGAATTTGTCCGATTTTAGTGAGAGGACCAATAGAGAACTCAAGTGAAACCACAGGAGCCAGGGCAAAAAACATTTTAATCTTTCTGGCCAGCTTGGGGATCTGTGAAAATGCTATAAAACCTGTGGGAACAAAAAGAAAATACCAGAATTCCATTTTCTGAGACTTTCTCTGAAAAGGCAATGGCAGAGGCAACCTGAGAACCGCGCAAGCAACGCAGCCGCCAGGAGGCCAAACACTTGAAAGCAGGGCATCTGAACTCTTACCCCAACACCGAGTTTGGTGAACCAAACATTTAAGTGCTCCTTTCAGTTTTCAACCCCGATATGCACTGGAAGAAATCCGGATGGCTAACACCGGAAGATGTTTTCTGTTCCTTGAATACTGTGAGCCAGCGATGGAAAGCCTGTCTTCCTAACAGCTCCACCCCTCCACCCCCTCCCTCACGGCTCCCCTCCATCCCTAAGGACCATGAACAAAGGCACTCAAAGCAGTTGGTGGCTGCTGACGCAAAAGGAACTTCCGCAGTTAGAATCCCCTAGCTTTAAAATATGTTTTAGCTGACTCTCAGGTCACTTCTTGCCTTAAACTTGACCCCAGAATGTCTCCTTTGAAAGCAGCAGGGCAAAGAGACAAGTCGACAAGTCATGAGAGAAGGAATATAGATGAAGAAAAACGCTTAAGGCTACTAAGAAGGAAGGCAACGGTGTCCATGTTATTTTTTGTTTGCAGCCTCTCAAGCAGGCAAAGAGTGGTGGGAGTGAGGGTGAGGCGACCTAACCGTGTATATCCAGACACTTCCAAGTGTTTGTACCTTTCCTAGGTAATTTCCTCCTAGGCGTGTATTCTAAGGAAATTGTGTGATAGGAACACAAAGATATTAGTCACAGTACACACTAAAAGGGGGAACTTAATAAATTATGGGACAGGTCTCCAGTCCCTAATCATAGGAGTTCTTGTGTGCTCAAATTAGAGGCAATTTTTATTTTCTTTAAACTTTGCTAAATTTTCTGTTTCTGTTTACAATGAAAGCACATTACTTTTCTAATCAACATAAAATACAGATGACTTTTAAAAACTGTAAATAAAGTGTACTATGGCATCCTTGTAGGTAGCTTTAGTCTACTTCACTTGAAAAATCAGCGTAGTTTTCTGTATATAAGTCTCTGCACTAATAAAACTTCTTGTTTTCTACCCTGTCACATCCCCATACTGCTTAACTAGAAAAATACGTTATTAGGCTGGGGTTTACATTAATTCCTTCAATTAAGGGAACCGTACACTATGTTCATCTATTTATGTTTAAGTCTGAATTTCCAGAGAAGACTAAATATTACCAAAATCCTTTGCCCTATTCATTATTTCTGCTTGGCACTTAAAAAAAAAAAAAACTCCAAAAACATAAAACCCTATCTGAACTCACATAATTTTTTTTATATTTCACTTTTAAGAACAAACACAAACCTGTAATAAGACATCATCTCAACCCCCAATCTTGATTATATACATACCTATCGTGGTGCCTTGAGAGTGACCCACGTAATACACTTGTTCTTGGCCAGTTTTATTCAGAATGAAATTAATTGAAGCAGGTAGGTCATAATTTGCCATCTCATCATAACTGTAATCCAAAAAAAGATCTTTCATCAATGCATTGTACACAAATACAACAGTGTACAAATAATAGGTGTGTGGTTTGATTAGTTATCACAAACTGAACACAGCTGAGTAAACTGATCCTGAGTGTAAGAAACAGAACATTACCAGGCCTGCAGAAGCCCCCGTGGGCTCCCTTCTAACCCATGCCTCCCCAAAATAACCATCAGCCTCATTTTTCACATCATAAATCAGTCCCATCCACTTCTGAACTTTTCTGTAAATGATACCAAACAGCAAGCATCCTTCTGCATCTGGTTTCCTCCGTGACACTGCAGGTGGCTGTCGGCTGGCCACTGTGTAAATATACCACATTTTATATTTGCTCACTCACTGCTGATGGGCATCTGGTAGTTTCCAATTTTCCACTGTTACAAATAGTGTGACAACAAATACATTCTTGGACATGCCTTTGGTAAAAGCTCTGATTCTCGTGTTTCAGGTCCTCAGGTAGGTTCTGGTTTTACAAGTGGTAAGCAAGCCTGAGGGAGTCCGGGGTGCTGACCTTCTGTAATGCCTGGTACTGAGATGCAGCCCTGAATCCGTGCGCATGCGTGCAGACTACTACCACCACTTACGATGTGCCAGGTTCTGCGTCCTCTCCTTTAAGCCCCCAGTGACCTTGTGAGCTAGGTATTTGTTACCTCCATCTTACAAAAAGGGAACAGACACAGAGGGTTTATGTCACATGCCCGGTGTTGTGCGGTTAGGAGTAAGAGAGAGAAGGGGAGAATTTCCGGAAAAAAGAAAAGTGATCATTTGGAGTACATGTTTATGGAGGAAGGGAGAAAGTTATGGGACACAATTTACCAAGCAGCACCCTACCACCAGGAATGCCAGCATAACTAAAAATTCCTTATTGAAGCTAATTCTTAAATGTAATCGTTTATTTATAATTTTACTGCTATTTATTAAGTTTCCAACAAGGTGTAAAACCTTCCACAAACCATCAGTTTCGCAGTCATACGATCTTGAGTTACCCACCTATTCGCCACCCAGGTCTGCATTAAAGGTACCAAGGAAATAGACCCTGTCATGATCAACTCAAACATACCTGAAGGCCCAGAATTCATCCTGAGAAACGGAAAAAGTCCTGTGTTTCCGAGACCAGGTGTTTCCCCTGCTGTTCCCCATCCACACATCAAAACCAGCATCTGCCAGAATGAAGCCCAGGCTGTTGCTGGGCAGGTTGGTGACCCAATTACTGGAATCTGCCAGCAAGCCATGCTGCAGGAACACAGCTGGTCTGGGACCTGGAAAACATTCATGTCTGGGAGTTAGCAGTGCCAGGCTTCAAAACAACCATGATATCTTGCTAACCAGATAAGTCACACAGGATCACAAAGCAAATAATGAAACAGAAACAAAAGACCAAGGTAGCGTTATCATTCAGCAACTACACTGCATGAGGGCGCCCAGGAGCTGTATGCTTTCCTTGGGCACATAAGGACACTTCTCACCCCTCAAAGGTGATTAGGGCTGGAGTGGGGAAGAAGATTTGACTTTAAAAGATCAGAGTCAAGTTGACCAAAGAAGGACCTTAGTGACATATGGGGACCACTGGGCAGGGCTGCCTTGTCCCTGCTGGTCACCAGTAACTTAGAAGGAGTGCCTGCACTGCGCTGGTCCCCCGGGGAAAGGACAGTTGGAGTGAGGCAGGAGGAAGGCCCAGCAGGGGGCCAAATTCCTGGTTGCTTGTTCCAACCTGTGTCTCTTCAGACACTTCGGGGAAAGCCAGAGGCTGCGTAGGTGACTTCACAGGGGAGTCCTGAGAAAGGAGGAGCGGTTTCAACAGAGATGGGAGAACCGAGGAGGGGAGAGCAGGATAAAGAGTGAGGCAGTCAAGCCAGGACTGAGGCTGGAAAGGGGGGCAGGTGCCAGTGCGTGGTGACCAGGCGTCAGCTCCCCTACCTTGCCTTGATGGGTAAGGTTTCAAACTTCCATGAAATCTCTCTATACTTCCCTCCCTAACCCCCAAGAACCTTCAAAGGAGACATGTGGGACTTGGCAAGTTGAAGACATACCAAGAAACTCTTTAAACACCATCAATAATAACTCCTGGATTCCCACAGGCAATGAGAAACCACTGATGCTTTCCTGGGAGGTGACCATGAAGCTCAGGAAAGTGCAGGCGGCCAACTCAGGCATGTGCCCAACATGCACATGCTCCCACCATGCACGTGTGCCAATTATGGTGGCTGAGGGGCTTCCAACAACATCTGCAAATACCCCTACTATAGCCCAGACCTGCCGTTACCCCTGCACGAGGCTCCAAACAGTCCCAGACCCCTTGCCCTATACTCCATGGAAGGGTTTCTCAAAGCTCCTATATTTGCCCCATACACTGAATTTCCATGGACTTGATTTTATCTAAAACAACCACTACTGCAATCCAGTTATAAAGAGTCTATGTTTAACACAAAAAGAAACAAAGAAAATATATTTAGTTACTTGGGAATTTGGATAAACTGTTTACATTAAGAGGTAATCTGTGGACGCTCATTACCTCTATGCCACAATCAGTTGGGTACCTAGAAAATGAAAGTGACTGCACAGTGATAAAGAGAACACACACACACACACAACAAAACAAAACAAAAACAGACCCCAGGGTGACAGCAAAGCCCCCAGTGTGGGCGGGGGGAGGAGATGGTGGAGAAAACGCAATGATTTGTTAAGACACTTGTAAGAGGGGAAGGAAGCAGATTGAAGTCACTCTTCTCTAATTCCCCTTTTTGTTTGTTGGGTTTCCCCCATCCCTCACTTTCAGCTGAGTATAAAAGCTCAGTGAACAACAGATATAAAAGATGGTGCCAGAAAGCAAAAAAATAGTGAACCTGCTCTTTAAAAGCCAGGAGTTTCAAGTCTGAAGGATCTGAGCCAAGAACTGCAAAGAGTCTGGCAGCCCCCTGGCTTTTAGGTGGGAAATGACAGCAGGAGAGGGGAAGCGCTGAGCCAGAAAGGTAAACAGTTGAGAAATGGGACAGCCTGCAGCCACCTCAGGCCTCTTAGCTGTGTCCTGTTCATTCATTTGAAAATTCTTTACTGAGACTCTTACTGTATAATAAGCAGGACACTAGAAGTTTTAAAAAAAATAAAGTAATTGAAAGGACACGTTACATTCTGTGTAAACCTGTCCTGGTACCGCCTATGTGTGGGCCACAGTGCTAGATGCAGGGACACGGAGGTGTAAGCCACGCTCCTTCCCCCGTGGAGTCCCAGGCCAGCCAAGGAGACAGGCACACAATTACCTTCCAGCCTGGCATGTGAAAGGCCAGACCCCCACACAGGAAAGCCCAGAGGAAAGAGAACAGAACAAGGCCGTAGGGGGAATCGCTGAGCCCGTCTTGAGTGAGAGACAGCTTGCCCCACAGAGGGTGCGGGTGAAGAAATGGGAGCCTGGATTTGCGGAGGACTGAGGCTGCACAGTAGGCCTCAGCCAGACGGGCCCCTGGCGTGCGCGTCAGAGGCTCCCGGCACGGTCTGATGCACAGGCAGCGCGGGGAAGCGCTGGGAAGGTGCAGTGCCTTGTCTGACCTGGGGAGAGAGGGGAGGCGAGGGTCTTCCTTCAGGGGTGCACATCCCTCCAGACTGAGCCAGCTCCCCTTTCCCCCAGAACAGAAGGGCCCCTCTGAGGAGGGGACTGCAGAGGATACAACCCACTGGGCTTCCAGAGCCCATCACTCCATTAGACATGATGGGTCACCAACAAAGAGACAATAATAACAAACCCTGGCCTGCGGTGGAAAACAGGTGCTAAGCTGCTGGTCCCTTCCCTCTGGTATTCAGTGGATGCAAAAGGCAGCAGAATAAACAAGGGCGTTGCAACAGGCTACCTGCCTGTCTGCCAGCCTCTCCCACCTGCTCCCACCGCGGGGAGAAAGGAAGGCATGTGTCTTCCTTCCCACCACATCACCAATCAAGGACTTAAGGATTTGCTGGTAAAAGAAACTTCTCTCCAGGAGGGTTATATCCACTGCTACTCACATCTTCCAGTGAATTGTTTTACTCAGATGTCTTTTTACCCTGCTGGGAGAAGCTGATTGAAGTAATAGGTGGTTATTATTGTGTGCCCATGTGCTCCAAGGTGCTGTGCTGAAAATCCTATGAAGTGAGTACTATTTCTATTTAACAGAACAGGGAATCCTGCCTGAGAGAAGTCAAGTAATTTGCCCAAGACTGAATAAGAGCTAGTAAGTGGGGGAGCTGGGATTCGAACCCAGGTAAGTCTGTCAGGGTCTAGGCTCTTGACTGTTTTGCTACGGGAAAGAAGGTTAGTAAGAACGAGTCATTCTACAACATACAGAGGCCCTCAGGGAATGACAAGCCGGAAGAGGGGAAGATGTTTTGGAGGGAGCTGGACCGCATGCTTGGATGAAAGTAATCGCTAGTAGATGGAGGAGTCAGAGAACTCAACCTCGCCCCCGCAGGCAACTCCTCCAAAGCCCAGCCTAATCCATGCCCTCCAGCACCTGCAGCCCAGTTTCAGCAACAAACCAATGCACCAGGAAGGGGACTGCCTTCCCCACTGTGCCCTGTCATTAGTTTGCCCAAACTGGCTCGAGGAGGGCTGGGGGCTGAGGGAAAGGCCTAAAAGCACGTTGGCCCAGAGAAGGCACATGACTTCATCACACTCATCTGAACAGTCAGCACAGAGACAGCAAAGAGAAGCAGCCCCGTGATGGCCCGCCACCACGCTGCCTGCCTGATGGGGCAACCGTGGGTGGAAGCGAGGAGGGAGGGGAACACTCAGGCTCTGAAAATGAATCTGCTGAGCCCACAGTCTCCCAAGAGGAAGATGATGGGGTGAATGGGGAAGTTCCTGCCTCCCAAGACACCCACCTTCCCTAGCAGGGCACTGTCTGAACAGGCCTCCACCACACTTGAAAAACTCCAATAAAAAACCAAAAGGAGGAGGAGGTCACAAAGAAACAGACTTTGGGTCTTACCAGATGTGAAACCCTTTAGGGTTTACTCAGTCTCCCTGAAGTACAGCTGCCCTTTTCTAAAGTGGGGATAGAACAGTGGCCGATACACAATAAATCTCAGTAACTAACAGTGATTCATACAAATAATAGGAAATATATAAATGCAACAAAATCTTATTAGAACACAAGCTCTGTGAAGAAAAACACCATGAAGCGGGGTTCTTTAGCTAAAATATATAATAAAAGTATATTTTTAAATATATAATAAAATATAACCACAGTTACAGCGGGACCATACTAAGTGTTGAGGGTCTCAGGTACCAGTGCTAAACCTGTCACATACACTGTCTCAGATAAGCTTCTCCCAGCATTCTGAGCTGACGTGGTCAGCTGAATAATGACTCACCAAAGACGACCATTTCCTAATTCCCAGAAACTGTGACTGTGTTGCCTTGTGTGGCAAAAGGGACTTTGTAGATGTGATTAAGGATCTTGAGATGGAGATTACTTCCTGGATTACCTGGTGGGCCCAATATAACCACAAAGGCCCTTCTAAGAGGGAGGCAAGAGGGTCAGAATGAGAGAGACACTGGAAAATGCTATGGTACCAGCTTTGAAGAGGCAGGATGGGCCAGAAGCCAAGGAGTGTGGGCAGCCTCTAGATGCGGGAGAAGGCAAGAAATCGGATCCTCCCCTAGTGTCTCCAGAAGGAAGGCAGCCCTGTCAACACCTTGGTCTTAGGACTTCTGACCTCCAGAATGATAAGATAATAAGTATGTGCTGTTTTAAGCCACTAAGTTCATGGTAGTTTGTTACAGCAGCAACAGGGAACTAATACAACTAGGGACTAGTTTTTACTCCCACTTTGCAGATAAAGACTCTGAGGCACAGTGTGGCTAAGTAATCTGTGCAAAGTTGCACAGCCAACAATCCCAAACCAGGACTCACAGGTGGCAGGACATCTCCTGGGCCTCAAAAAGACAGAGGCTTGGCTCCTTGCTAGCTTGGGAGGAGCCTGCATGACCTAATATCTTTCAGAATTGCTTAGAAGATAAGCTGTAAGTTGCATAAGGGCTCCCTTCTCCTTCTGCAAAAGCAGGTTCTAGACAAAATGGCAATAAGAACCTGGCTTCTGGTGCACAGGCATCCCCACCACTTATACAGAGTAATGCCAAATCAGGATCACCTCTGACTTTAGACCTCCCTGCAGCCATCTGTGGGACAGGACAAACCGAAGTCCAAGGGCTGTTTCAAGCATTCCAGAGGCTGGCTATAGATCGCCCAAAGTGCCAGGACCCAGGGGGCTTCCTGAACCTGCCGTGACT